TTACTGCTGCCCAGTCCTCCACATTTCTATCTCCTGCATCTTCCTGTAAGCAGTATAATGCAATATGCAGTATAGTGACCTCAGAATTATGACAAACATTGTCAAGTTTACTTCAGATACATGCATCCTTGGGAACTGTGTAATCTAAAGATGACCACAGGTTATCCCTTACTTCTGGGTCTTACAGCTACTGCCATAGGGATAGTGTTGACAACCCTCAAATGAGTACTTAATAGGCTGTCTTGTTTTGTGGCTCTAATTAACAGCTTTTAGTTCATTCAGTCTGTGTATTGTTGACCTTTACATTTTTTTCTTTATGAGTATATGCCAGGCTCTTCCTCTTTTAAGAAATTCTTATAACAATACAGGTGGGAAGAGACTGAGGACAGTAGTAACTGATGTGTAAGCAGATCTGAAGAGCAAATTTTGTGCCTTCTGCGAAGGTTATATGTCCAAGTGGATGATCCATCATCAGTGCCCACAGAGCTCAGCATTTCTATGAGTCCACCGATATGAATACATTTGGTAATTCTCATCTGCACCAAAATCAAAGAGGGCTTAAATGACCAATTTGATAGCTTTATTTGGTCTATTTGTTCATCTATAGACCTGAGCTCCATGCAAACATGAAAACATGCAGCTGCATAGGAAATCATAGTACATCCTTCTGAATTTTATGCCCAGTAGACTCTCAAGACTGACAAAATGTCTAATGTTTGTTAAAACAACCACGAACAGAAAACACATTATGATTTTGATAACTACCAAGAATCTATAGTACACCTGGTCGTGCCCACACTGCATACATGCCAGGGCCGTCTGGCAGCAGTTATCGTGCTGAACTATCTTTGAAATACACGTCTGTGGGAGCTTGAGATGCTTATGAAGATGATTGCACTAGCATTCTTATAGGTAGGGATACATTAGAAACAGTAGGTGAAACAAAGGTGTTCAAAACTGAAGCTTCCAATGCAGATATCACATCAATGTGCTAATCTTTTGGTTGCAGGGGTTGACTTACCTCACTGCCCAGGCAAATGGCATTCGGTACTTCCCCAATTTGCTACAGAACTGTCTGTTGGATTTTAGGATCTTTTGTACAAACTAAGGAAAAAATAAATTAACATATTGTTTAGGAACAGCCCTTTACCTGCACAATACTACTACATCCTTTCCATATTATCTTCTACTGAAGCTCTGTGGAACTCTGCCTTAAACCCAGAGTCTACATCTCTGTGTTCAAACTATTAGAGAACATTTTTCTTTCTTTTCAGTTTGAAAAGTCCAAATGTAAAAATACCCTTCTCTTTGACTATCAACTTTTCTATCTTCTTTCTCTTTTTTTTTTTACCTAAAAGGTCTTAAAATCTTGAATTAAAAGTGTTACCAAATTCACACTTATAGTCTGTACTGCACTTCCTTTTCGTCATGTGACAAGGTCAGCAGACTTGTTCTCTAAAGAGCTTCAGAGGTCACATGGTCTCTGTTACAACTCTCAACTCTCGTCATAGCAGAGAAGCAGCCATGGACAATCCGTATACGAATGAATGAACCAGAAATTTATTTTTTTCAGTGCTAGGGATTTAAACCAGGGTCTCATGTCTGCTAGGCTATAATGAATGAGTATGACTGTGTTTCCATAAAACTTTATTTATAAAAGCAGATGGTAAGCTGGATTTAGCCTGACCAGGTAGTTTGCCAAATCTTGACTTAAATGTTAAACTCTGTCTTAAATTGTTACACATGTTGAAATTCAATGCTTATGAGTCATTTCCTTAATGTATTTTCTTTGAATGGAAAATACATAGACTTTTTATACTTATCTTCTTTTTAATCATTGATAATCCATAATCTGATTATTTAAAAAATATAGTAATAGGAGAGAAGAAAGTAGAAAAACATCAGCTGTAGTTCCACCATTCAAAGCACTTATAGCATTCCCTCTCTTCTTTTTTCCTTTACTTTGGTATTTCGATTTTATGTGTAATCATGTCTTATCTTTCGCTTGGTGTCATCAGCATTGCTGATGTCTTAGCAAACTATCTTCATTTGCTTTACTCAGATTATTCCTCACTTTGCATTAATTACACTTTGATCTGATCCTTGGGGTTAAAACTTTATCCACATTTAAATTTACTTCTACTAGTAGGTTATTAGAAGTCAGGAACTGCTTAGTTAAAAACACATAGACCAAAACATTTAAAAATTATCCTGGTGTATATTCATTTCATTGATACATGAATATTTAAAGTTATACACTTAAAACTTGATAATTCATCCAGATACCTTATTTTTTTGGGAGTAATTAAAATGAGTCATAAGAAAATTATTCATTACCTTGTTGGAGTCTGGATTTTTAATATAAGGTTCAGCACCACTTGCAATATTTCCCATCAGGACTTTTTCAATTTTGGCCACCAAAACAATTTCAGAATGTGGATCACTTACAGAAAATATAGCCTATGCACAAAGAAAAAATTATGATGCATTTAAGAAACCTCACTGAAGACATTTACAAAATATCATTTAAAAAGATAACTTTTAAGAAATTTTTATTTGGGAACCTGCCCATCTTGTACAATGTGTTGTTCAGAACAAGCAACGGAAGAATTTTTGTACCATCACAAATAAACAAAAGTGCAACCTGCTTTGGAAATTTTAGCCATTCCTCTGGAAGTCCCTTGATATAAGGTTCTTCTGATTGTCTTGGAGTGACAGTGTCAATGTTGCCATTTTCCAAAGTCATGGGAGCCCCCATGAGCATCTGTCTGACCACAGTGTGGTTTAGATCCACGTGAAAATCAGCAGAAATCTTTCTGCTATCTCTGAGGTCATAAAGTGCCACACTCACAAAAAAAGGCTCGATCTGTGTAAAAAACAAAGAACAGATGGTTTTGATAGAAAATCATTATCCATCAAACAGCCTCTTCAGTATATCATTTCACAAAGCACCAGATGCAATACAGGCAGAAAGCAAGCTCCCCTTCTCTGTGAGGAGTACCCAGAATCCCTTCCTCCAGCAGGTGCCTCAGATCCCAGGTCTGTACTTCATCTGCTTCTTCATGATAGCTCTCCCCAAGTATTTTCTTCCATATCTTGTACTACATGCAGGGTTTGGTTTACAAATCCTTCTAGTTCTTTCCCCTACACTCTCAGAAAATACCTGCCACCTCAGTCTCCTCAGGCTCCTCGAAATCTCACAGTCTAGAGATTTCTAGACTGCACTTCATTAGCCCAAACGCTTCTCAGTTTTTTAAATCATAACTTGATAGGAAAATAACAGCTAACATTTATTAAGCATTTGCTAAATGCTAGTTACTGTTCTATGTATTTCTTATGCATTTTGTGAACAAGACACATATTAAAATACAGGGTGAAAAGTATATAAGCATAAACAAGGTTATGAAGGAACCTGTTAGCAGAGAGGGCAGGAAATTCCCTAAGAGGAGTTGATCTTTTAGTTTAACTTTTAAAAAGATACTAATTTTCCCTCTTATTTTGAAATAATTTTGAAGTTCACTGTGTCCAGAACACCCAATGTCAACACTCTCAGCACCTGTGATATTAACCTAGATGATCTGGTCATGTTGGTATCTGCTACTTTTCTTGACCATGTCTGCCAGTTTCCCTTTGATAATTGATTAGTGTTTGTGGAAATGTGTTCTGAAATTACTCCCAATGTCTTCTTACTCAGCAAACCCAACTTGGCGGTTTTAAGGTTTTTAACTTCCATTAATAACATAACTCCTACAAGAATCAATAACCAGTATGTTGGCTATTGATGGAGATTTTTTTTAGTTCCATCATTCTTCCTACAAGGATTAGTTAATATTCTAGGCTAAAGATGGGTTTTTCCCTTCTCTTTCACTTTATTATTTATTTATATACATGTAGACTCATGGATCACCATCATATATATATATAATATATATATATATATATATATAGTGATGCTCAAAATTGTCCTAGGTTTGGCAAAAGATATCCTTTCAACATAGCTCTAAGTGGTTCTGGCAAGTTCCCATAATTTTTTAAGTGCTTCTTTAACCAACAATTGGTTCCAGGTTCATCTCATACTTTCTAGGCTCCAGATATTTCTTCAGTGGGTTCTGGTTCTTTTGGTGATGGTGACATCTAGAAACCAGCACCTGGGTCCTTGTGACCACTGTTACTATGACATCACTGTTTCTGTACCCCCTCATTACAGGAATGTATAATGCACAAACAATACTAAAATATATCTGCGATTATTTCTTTATCTCTACCTATGTAAGAATATTTATTAAAAACTAGTGAGCTTGTGATGACCCCTTCATTTCCAATCTAAACACTCAAGGGTTCTTTCTAACCTTCCTGTTTTTCCTCTCTGTAAGTATGTCCTCTAACAGTGAGAAATATGGATTTCATTATCACTAATGTGTTTGCTACTACCTATCTTTTCTAATGCCTCCTCTGAACTACCCTAAACCCCAATTCTGGCTGATTCAGGCCCATGCCACCTCTGTGTTTTTGTGTGATTTTCTTCTCCCCACCCTCTGGAATTCTTGAATGTTTTCTCCACTCCTCTGTGTAGCATCCCTCTCAACCTCTTGCCTGAATGACAGGGAGGAAGAAAAAGATGGGATACAAAGAGAAAATGGGAAAGTAATAGAAGATGAGAAGAAACAGGAATTTCTTGATCGAGTTTAAAAGAAGTACGACTCTGGTTGGAAGGGACACTTGGGGTGAGTAATATGTACAAAGACATACTGACATGAAAGGACACAAGAAAAGAATATTAGAGTGGGCTCACAGTGGAGTAAAAAAACTGGTTAGGAGGTGTTTGTGGGAGCAGAAGTGCAGCCAAAGTGCTTAGAAGTCTACTGCGTGGGTGTACTGATTGTCTGGAGAAAGCAGAACATGGCAGCATGAAGACAGCAAGCTCCCAGGTTTGTGGATGTAGGAATCTAAGTGGATGACAATATCATTCACTGATATACAGGATAAAGATACAAAGAGGAATTCTGAGTGGAACATAGAAAGTCATCTGTTGAAATCTCAGTGGCAGTGGCCAAATGCATTTTGAGTCCAGTCAAGGAAACTGAGCTGGAGATCTGGACCTGGGAGTTTTTTGTATGGGTTTCTTGTTTAAATCATGACACGAAGAGAAGAGAATCAGAATAGGAGCCTGGGAGATTTCAACATGCAAGGGATAGAGATGGAAATAGGGAAAAGCACCTAGAAAAACCACCTATAAAGAGATTGGGAAATAGAGAGATAGCTAATAATTTTAAATTTAATTTTATGTAGCTTTTTTGCAGCACTTGGGATCAGACCCAGGGCCACACACATGCTATGAAAGTGCTCTACCACTGGGCTATATTCCCAGACCTGGAAAGAAATTTTAAAAAATCAAATTGATAAAAAAAAAAAAGTGCTGTCAGAGTATCACAGAAAAGGAGATTCAAGAAAGAAGGAATGGTCAACTAGAAAAATGTTAAATACAACAGACAAAGATTGACATACATTATTACTTAAACACACACACATATATATGCATAATTATGTTTGTACATGAACATATATGAAACTACAGAGCTATGTAGTTAACTGTAGCCTTTACAAATAAATAGCTTTGCATTTTTTGTATATGCTACTTAATTTTGTATTGATGCCTGTCACCAGCCAGTGTTCTGTCAACAAGTAGGTTATATAGAAAGACCACACTGTGATCCGTTTCGTCATTGCACAGCCTCACTCATGCTGGGGATCTTCTTACATGCTTAATGGGGTATCTTCTGCCCATTGAAATGTAGTAATATGAGCAGCTGATAACAGCTATTCAAGTCCTTATTAACAGCAATCCTTGACAGAAATTCACATATAAAATAAAATTCAATAAATTACTTTTTGAATGAAGTAATTGCAAAGTAAAAGTTTAATATTTTACCAATTTATTTTAGTTTAGAAAAACCTTTGGTTTGTGATAGTGGTAGTGTGCTAAGAGTTGAAAAATGCAATAATTAAAAGAAAATAACTCAGGAACTCACAACACTTTGAAGGTCAAAGAATAACATCCTTATTATTTTTTTCCTGAATTGTGGCACTTTGATTTTCTTTTCTGTTTAGTGAATGGAAATAAATTACCTACTTCTATAACCCATTGGAAATTAAAGCTCATATGGTGATTCAGTTATTTCTTCAAATCTACTTTTTCAATGTAAATGTCAAATCTAACTTTTTGAATTGCTCACTTTTCAATATGGATTTGTTTAACAAAGCTCATTCAAAATCTAACAAATTAAGTCATGGGTTTCTTAGGTTTAGAATTCTGTACTCTTCATAAAAATTCAAGTACATGAAATTTTAGATGTAGCTGTTCTATGAAGCAGCTTTGTTACTTCAGATTTTTAAAATCAATTCTTCTTTTCAAAGAAATATTTTATACTGTTAAATCATCAACTTGAATTTGATTTTCAATTTACTGTCTAAAAAATTACATGCTGCCAAATACCATTTCCTCATCATGAAAAACTGCCCAGGGAGTCTTTGGATGCTCGTTTTTGGATGCTCGTTTATTAAATGTAGTAGGTGGCTCTTTAGCAACTTGGAGAAATGTTTCAATTACTTTAAAACATGCCCATTGAATTAAGAACGAGTTTTAAAACTTACATTAATAAAACAGTGTCACTGAATAAATATGCAAAGATTTTCAAAAACAATGTCATTAAATGACAAACAGCTGTTGAGTTATGTTGAAGCTGTTTTATTATCGACTTTTGTATTATTGCTTAAAAGCACAATGATATTTTTTTAAAGTAATTTCCAAGGTTTTTAACATTTGTATCTACTTTTTTTTTTCTTTTTTCTTTTTCTTTTATTCACATGTGCATACAATGTTTGGGTCATTTCTCCCCCCTTCCCCTGCCCCCTCTTTTACCCCCCAGCCCTTCCGTCTCCCCCCCTACCCCCTCGCTACCCGGCAGAAACTATTTTGCCCTTATCTCTTTAAAAGAAATTAAGAAACATGAAACATACAAAACACTCCAAATCAACTTAACTTCTTGGCCAGAACAGGTATGAAAAGACACACTAACGCTTTTCCCTGGACTTAGGTTTGTTCCTTGCCTGGTGAGACCGGCCCAAATATGAACACTTAGCTCCTGAACAATAGCCTTAACATAAAGAAAGAAATCCATGTGGAAGGAGTCATGTGTCTGTAGTCCTGGAAAGAAAAACCTATTAGCTTTGATTTTGCTCCCAAATTGGACTTTTTAATTTCATATAAGGATGTGCTGGGTTAAAGACATCTTTTTTTAAATTTAATATGGTGACTAAATTACATTAAAATTTGTGTTAAATTTTCTTGAAATTTCCATATAGTTTCAAGAACCAAGATTCTAGCTTTTGTTTTGTTTTGAAGTCCTGCATGAAATTGTGGTCTGATTACTTCTCTTAACGCTTATCACTACTCAGAAACTGTTCTTGCTATAATCACTAACATACTCTATTTTGCTGTACCTTGGATTTCTGTTAGACTTTATGTTACACAGCTCTCAGAACCATTCCATAGACTGGACTTGTTCTTTCTTGGGCTCCTGATCCACTTTTCCTTGACTTATCTCTATTGCAAAAGATATTTGTCTTTACTCTTTTTTGGTTACTTCTCTAGTCATCCTTTGACTATTTGGTACCTGATTTCTTCTCTTTATACACATAAATTCCTAGATGATATTTCCCAGGTCATTGACTGGACAAGACTTCTAACTTTCTATCTTTTTTCACTCTTGATCATTTGAGTTATCCACCCTTACGCTCTGCACATCTCCACTTGGATAATTAACAGGTCTACCTTTTAAACACATTGATAATACTATTTTTGACCCATAACCCCCAACTCTTCTCCTGCTAGTCTTGCCTTGTTAGTAAATGTCATCACACATAGAAATGACCAAAGCAAAAATCAGGACTCATTCTTGTGCTGTCCTTTCCCCTTATCTTGCATATCCAATACACAGGAAAAAAATTTGTCAGTTCAGTTTACAAAACATAAATCAGATGCACCATTACTTTCCTTCCTTATTAGCCCTAGTTCAAGTCACATGATAAATGGTGATGGTAGTAGCCTTCTTACTAGTCTTGCTGGACAATTCTTTGAAATTTCCTCCAACACATTTTTTCCAGTCGGGTCTTTTAATTATTTTTATTTTATTTTACTTTTTCTGATGAAATCTTTTAAAAGCAGATTGGACAACACCATTTTAAAGTGTTTTAAATAGTCCCTACTTAACTCTCTGGACAAATTCAAATGCTTCACTTTGTCTTAGAAGGCCCTATCTACTCTTACTTCTTTCTGCTACTCCCATGTTACTTTGGTTTGCCCTTCTCCTACCCACCTCCTTTCAGTTCCTTTTCAGAACTTATGGAGACCTATCTGGCTCAGGGCTCCCCTGACCTGCCTTTCTATCCTTCTCAGCCTTTATGTCTGTTCAAATGTCACCACCTCAGGAAATCTTCTGTACCACCCTATCCAAAGGCACCCTGCCTCCGGTTCCTCTGTACTGCATCTCCCCACACTGATTTCCTTCACACAACTATCTTGTTAATTTTGTTTTCTTGTTTACTCTCTCTCCTTTTTCTGAAAGAATCTAATTGCCAAGAGAACAAGTTACTTGTTTATCTTGTCCCCTGCTGCTGTCAGTAGTTAGAACAAGTCTGATTCACAGTAGGCACACCTAGTAAGGATTTTTTAGAGAATGAATAAAACTGACTTTCTTTCATTTTTATTCAGACCTAGTACACAGGTAAAGTTATAAAACATGACAAGGCTTCACTTGGGGGCAAGATTCTTACTGGTGACACATTTCCATTTTTGCTTACTTTTCAACAAGAATCTCTCATATAACATAGAAAATGTCAAAGTCTCACATGCATAGTCTTTACACATTTCAAAGCCATTTCTCACATATTTCAATAAGAGCAAGTATTTAATGAATGTTTACTTTGCACCAAGCACTAAGTACTTTCCATATTTAACCTCTATTAATCATCACAAAATTAGAGATAAGGGCAAAATAGTTTCTGCTGGGTATCGAGGGGGTGGGGGGAGAGGGAGGGGGTGGAGTGGGTGGTAAGGGAGGGGGTGGGGGCAGGGGGGAGAAATGACTCAAGCATTGTATGCACATATGAATAATAAAACAATAAAAAAATCAGCACATGACCATTTGAAATGGTTGCTGTATTGTCCTCATTTACATAGAGCAGACTGAGGGGGAGCCATTTGCCTACCTGGCACAATTCCTAAATTGGAAAACCAGACAATTAGAACCCAGAGCTTCACAGTTCATTGCAATCTTCTCATTAAATGGTATGTCCACAGCCTGGACCCTATTCTGCTACTACACTGGGGGTGGGAGGGTTGAACAGAATTACTGAGGCACTAAGACACAAGGCTAGTAAGGTATTGAAGAAAAGTCTTCTGTATGAGTTAATTCCTTCTGCCAGGTACTCTCTGTCACAACTAACCAGGCTAATTTCACTGCATCATAAATAGAGGCAGGCGTGGGATTACACATGCCCCAAAATGTTAACAGTGTAAGTTAACAATGAAAACTTAATGGTGCTCCTACCTTCTAAAGCAAGTGTGGCTTATAACAAAGATCTAGAGAAAAGTTTTCTTCTTTGTGGTGAAATATGACAGTTGAGAGAGGACTTATGAGAAATGAGGAAACAATACATTAAAAAAGAATGAAATTTCAACTGTGACTTATGCTGATGGTAGGATAACCAGTGATTTTAATTCTCTCCCTTATAGTTCAACATTTAATAATGGCTGCTCATAAAATGCTTCTTTCCCACATGTACATTTACAATTAGTCTACAATCGTCCACTAGAGTACCAGGAGAAAATTCTCATTTAGAAGGAGAAGGAAACTTGTATAGATTTAATGAGCACTCTGGTGCTTCCAAATGTAGTGAAGTAACTACAATTTCTGCCACTTGCACAAATCATCTGAACTGTTAATTAATATGTATCTAATATTATTTTACTTGATTTACTACTTAGCCTTTTCCTACGCAATAATTCTGTGAAATTCTGGGTTGATTTGTTAACTTTGGCTTTTGCCATGGGATGCGGATGTAGCTCAGTGGTAGAATGCTTGCCTAGTGTGCACCAGGCCCTCTACAACTGCTTAAAAAAAAATCCCACTAAGAGGACTCAAACAATATCTTAGGAAAATGAACTACTGTGCTAGCTCATGAAAATAATTCCAGAACACTGTCCCTTTGATGTGTCTTTAAGTTAAATGAAAGTTTTATGGCAGCACATGGATATTTCCACTTAAGAACTTGTACTCTTTTCTAATGTGGAAAAATGGTGTTAAACATTCTCCCTGGTACACTAGGGGGAAATGAGTGCCTGGAATGAGTAGGAGTAGGAAAGATTTTGACTTAGGATGGTGTGATGCTGGCAGACAGGACATAACAGAAGAGAGACTTACATTCGTTATTGGATCACTTTCATTCTCCGTAACACAGCCCTGAAGATTTAACATGAGAGTTTTACAAATGATCATGATTCTCTTGGCGGCTTTCTCTTCAAAGGGTCTGACCACAAACTCAGGTTCTGAAAGATCCTTTTTTTGAAGTTTCAAAGTCTAAAAAAGGTTTAGAAAGTTTTAGTTACCACGCACTGATCATGAAAAAGAAATTCTACATTAGAATTCCCCAGTTGTATGGGTCAGGTTCATGTCTGAGCAGACAGAATTCTGACTTACATCTATATCTGGATCTAGCGAGAACAGATTCATCCTCTCCATGTTTCGAGTGGTCTTGACAGTGTCTTCAGTTTCTGTGAGGTACTGTGAAGAAGGCATGTTAGTCCTTGAGATCTAATATGCAGATGCAGCCCCAGCCACATCCACATGGCCAGGAAGCAACCCTTAGTTTTATCACTGTTTCAATGTCATCCACTAATACTTGGCAAATCTTGTAAAATTTTTTTTATCTTGAGCACTGGGTACACATTAAATAAAACACTTAGATTAATGGAAAATTCTGAATTACTTTCTTAGTCTACATCTTAAGAGAAAGCATTTCCATCTTTTCCATGAAAGCAGTAAGTAGTAAGTAGCTCAACTTTATGTGCAAATACAATGTCAACTTTATTACTTTGGCAAAGTCTGGGTGTAGGCTGTTCTCTGAAGAATCTGTTTCCTCCGGCATACATTCACAAGGTAAAGAGTTATCCAGTGGATCTTGAAAAGATAAACCAAGACATGTTATTAAATAATACTCACAAGACATTAATTTTTGTTTTCTGTGGTACTGAAATTTGAACTCATGGCCTAGCATTTGCTAGGCAAGTGCTTTACAGTTGAGCCATGCCCTCACCCTTTGTGTTAGTTTTCCAAATAGGGTCTTGCTTTTGGCCGAGGCCAGTCTAAGACCATGATTCTCCTGCCTTTGCCTCCCACATACCTGGGACAACAAATGTTAACCACCATGCTCAACTTATTGGGTGATATGGGAGTCCCACTAACTTTGTGCCCAGATGGCTTTGAACTATAATCCCACTGAGCTCCAGTTCCTGCATAGCCAGGATTACAGGTGTGAGCCACCACATCTGGCTCAATTCATATACATATATAGAGCCTGTGACATAAAATCCAGTTTTACTGGGTTGGAGTTAAGATCTCAGAGGAACATTGAACCTGTTTTCATTTTGTTCTGTCTTCTGTAGGCCATACTGTTAGGCAACTGGCAGATGGAAATAAGACCTCCTGAGGATCATTTTGAAATTCTTGCCATGATACCATCTGTATTGCTAAGGACTTCATATCTTTACAACACTACACCTTCACTGAGGGTTGTCTTGACTTACTTCAGCAATGAATATATATTTTTGATAATCTTCACTTGCAGGGCATCAATTTAGATCACATTCTCTAGCTTCAGTTACTCGAACTCTATAGGTCACGGCAACCATTCTGTTTTAGTTGATTATTACTACGTAAAAATAAATGTATGTAAGACACCTACTATGACATATTAGTAGTTGTGGTAAAACCAACAAGAGTTTTCTTCCTCATTATCCTGTGACTCTTTTGGATGATGGCATATGGTATTTAAGAGAACAAGGACATAGGATGCTTTGGTTTCTAATGCACCTTGCACTGTGCAAAATGTGATTTTCTTTCAGCAGTAGTGAGTGGATCTGCAGCCGGTGAACTTGCCTTCTATGTAGCTATGAATGGGGCTGCTACCCCAATCATAAAAAAAAAAAAAAGAAAAGTTCCACCCTTCTTTCTTTTTTTCTTGTCCCCTTCTCTTTGCTAGAATGAATTAGAATCTTAGGAAGGAACTGAGCTTGGAAGAAGAAATATTTTAATCTTATGAAAATCTTTATACTTATTTCACATACTGTGGGAACTTTCACAAGCAGGCTTATCTCTGGATGACCAAAAAAACATAAATGAAAGATGCATTTTAACTAAGAGGAAACAATGCATAACTGCCTTTACAGAGAATTCGGTTCACTAAGTTGAAACCACAAAATACCTGTTATGAGGTAACTAATTTCCTATCAGACATGGGTACATTTTTGATACTGCTAATGAATACTTGCATCATTTGCTGGGTGACAGCTTCAAGTCACTGCCAGTCAACTCAAAATCATATCAGTGTGTGGTGTCCATCACTGTTTATGAAAAGTAAGATTTAGGGTGATTTCTTGGAGCGAATAGCTCAGGGATGTGTAAGTGGGTCCTGACAGCTACCACAATTACTACCAGCTTAAGTGAACCAAAAGCATAGGTTGCACTTGGCAAAGGCAAGGAGATGTTTCATGAGCTCTCACCCAGCCCCAGGTCGGCCAGCTCTGTGCTCCTCCTCCCCTGGAGGGGCCCCTCAGGACTGATCTGCAGGATGCGGTTCAGAGTCTGGATCCACTCATCCATATCTGACTCTGTTTCAGCTGCCAGCACAAAATAGGTCAGATCATTCATTTTCAACTCAAAGGCGTATTTTCTTAGTCTGTTATTCTGTGGTATAAAAAGAAAACAAAGAAATAATAAATCTTAGAGAATGAGAGATATAATATGTGAGATTGGGACTTTAAAGTCTTTCCAAACAGGTGGGCAACAGAAAGAAAACATTTCAGAACAGGACACAATTTTTGGTGGGTTCAAATAATTTTGCTTAGTTTCTTTCAAAGCTGTTTGTACTAAGAAATATTTTATGTAGGTTTTTGTTGACTGGAAGGGCATGTTGGCTTAGCAATTTTATCCCCAGGCACAAGTGTGGGTATATTCTAACCTTTAAATAATTGCTTTGAGGTTCCACCTTCACTTTCTTACCTTATATTCTGTCTGCAATTCTGACCCCATCACCCTCCAAAGGATGCACCTGCCAAGGTTGTGAACAAGATCTATATTGCTTTAGTATCTAGGAGGTATTTCTTTATGTCTTCCTTGACCTTTCAGCAGAATTAACGTGGTTGGCCACCTCCTTCTTGAATCTCATGTTTCCCTGGTCTCCGTGACCATATTCTTTCCTGGTTTTCTTTCTACCTATTGGCTGCCACTTTTCAATCTCCAATGATGGCTCTTCCTTCTCTTCATGACTAATACTCCTGGCTCTGCCTTAGATTTCTTTCTTGTTTAGTTCATTGGCTTCCAATGGCATTCATGGGAAATGATTTCTCAGTTCTATTATGGCTTCTCCACCAACCTCTAGCCAGTTTTCCTGAACAGCTCTACTTTACATTTGGTGACCAATCCAAGAGGCCTTGTTCTAGTTGCTCACATGGCTCCTATCACATCCTTCTTGTTGTCACAGCGCTGAGACAAGGTCACCCCATACCTTGCATATTCTCCCAAACACGGTGAGGATCAATCCTTGCCTCTCTTGTGCTTATGTGGCTTATAAGCCTTCTTCAAATAGCAACTGAAAACTTTTCTCAATTCCCTAGCCTTATCAAAGGTCCTTATCCCCAAAGTACATAAACTGATTTAGAAATATTGCTATTATTGCTTTGACAAATGTATGTCTCCTCGAAGCCTGGGCAAGTTTTGTTCATATCTGTATCTTGTAGTATTGTAGTATGCAGAGTTCTAAACAGTCACATTTTATGAATGGTACAAAATAGGTTCTTATTCTAGTAGGAAAATGGTACAAAATAGGTTCTTATTCTAGTAGGGCACCAGACTGCCCTGGTGAAAACAGACAGTCTGGCCTCACAGGATGGGGAAGACAGGCTTTAACTAACTAATAACACAAATACAAATTGGAAAATAAGTGCATTTAAATTTTGTATACATGTTTTCATGAAGAGAGACTGTAAGAGTATAGAATAGAATGAATTGAACAAGTCAAAGTGAAAGAAAGGTCAGTTTAATTTTGAGAAGATCATTTTGACTATAATGGAAACAGTGAAGGAAGGCCAAGGCATGGCCTTGAACTAACTGTGTAAAGGAGACTCTAGGCCACTGGTTGAAGAAGCAAATTCCTAGATGCCTGGTTTTCCCAGGAAGAATGAGGCACATTCCCTCCATATATCCCACATTACTTTCTGGAAGATTCTGACAAATGAGGTCTACAAAACTGCCTACGACCTCCACTTCCATGGAGGGTCTATGGGCATAGAAAAGGTGACCATAGAAGGTGGCTGGAGAGCAGGTGAGAGACAAGATTGCACTATGAGGCTGTTCTTCACAAAACAACAGGAATAGAAATGGCACTCAAAAAGAAACAGAAATGATCGGCGTTCAGGGCATAACTTTTACAAGGGTATTATCGAGTATGTGGACAGCAAAGTGAAAGCAATCTTAGTGTTGCCTTGAAAATAAATATAAAGGAATCTATTTGGCTAATCTGAGACTGTAAATAATGTGGTATCTGTAAAGCTAGGTGAAATGTTTCCATCAGTTCAAAATTAAAAGTGGATCAAGATGCAACTTGCTTTCAAACTCAGATGCCAGCCAGAAACAAAACACTGTAATATGTAAATAAGAGTTGATTTTCTAAAATGCAATCTGTGCTTCAAATAAATTGAATATGGTTGCAACTTCACCAATATTGTTAAGATAATTTTTTTAAAAACTTGAGCATAGTGTTACAAGCTCTTGTTTCTCAAAACAGGACATTTAGAAATGAAATAGATATTTGGCTTAAAATTTCTCAAAACCAAATCATCTTTTTCACATTTGAGAGAAACAGAACTACTTTCCATGTAGAGAAGCTTATGTTGGGAATGATTAAGATGCCTGAGTGGTTTTCTATCTCACTGTAATCTCAAAGATGATAGCATGGAGAACAACAGAAAAGAAAGGATAAAAATAGAAAATCAATGGAATGTTTTAATCTTGAAGTGCAACGGGTAAGTCACTGAAATGGTAATCAAGAAGTAATCAAAATCTTCTTCAGACTTCTCATATTTTCCTTTATTCCCTTAAGTCAGTGTTCTTTGCAGTCAACACAACTGCTTTGTGCAGTCAAGCTCACCACAGTTCATGTGTATGACTTCATAAATAATAGGAAATAGTATACATCCTATTGTCATACAAAGTGTTTAATGCATTGTGGCAAACTAGCCTGCTCGCAGAAAACCACCAAAGTCAATGGGGGACTGAACAGCAAAGATGGAAGTCACCCAAACAAAATACTCCTATACCTCTAACATATGTTACTAGTATGTTTACAATTTTTGCAAAAAGAAGAGTTACAAGATAAACACAAGATATGAATCCAGGTTACTGATGTTGGTGGTTCCCATCCATGCCATTCTTTGCACTTTCTGTGGGTTTATTTCATTCAAAAAACAAATAGAGGGACTCTCCTTTGTGACAGTCACACAGCATTGAAATAAATTTAACGTAAAATGATTCTTCTTGTGGGAACTCACATCCTAAAGCCATGAAATGTCAGTAGACAAATCAGCAGAAATATAACAACATGGATGATATGTGTGCAATATAATATAATATAGACATGCAGCATTAAATGTGGATTCTTTCCAAATGTTAGCAGGACTTACTGCTCGAGGTTTGTTGCTCATGTCTCATTTGCATATGCCACACTTTTTGCCTGTGTATCCTTCCATAGTCTGAAGCTATTTTTATTGTTGTTGTTGGACGGGGTCTGAACTCAGGGTTTCATGGTTTCAAAAGGTGCTTCACCACTTGAGGCCTCACTCAAGACCCTGGCAGCTCTTGATTAAGACAGGAAGTACTCTCTTCCAAATTGGGTTTTCCACGGGGCTGTGCATATACTAAATTTCCCAATATAGTTACTGACATAAATCCTATATCTAAAACTGCTTAAA